TGCTGCCGGTCTTTGGTCGATTTACATATTCAAATAGAAATCGAAAGCATTTGATTTTTGATTTTTTTCTAATTTGCTGGCAGAAGCAGAAGAAAAAACAATGGAAGCCCCCTCGTCGGTCTTTTATCTCTCTCTCTGGGATTTGGGATTACGTAAAACGTGACCAATATATCGAAGATCAAAAGGAAATTAAATAAATGTTCGATCGCTGCTTTGGTTTTTTGGTTTTTGGTGGGGCAGGTTTATTTTCTTTTGTTGCGAAATTAAGTAATAGTTTAGTTTGTGTGTCTAACGGTGCGGATGAGTGATGCAAGGCGTGAGAAGAAGCGTTAAATTGGAAGAATGGATTCATTATGATAAAATGTTCTTTGCCGTTGACGAATTTCTGAAAAAAATAATAACAAGTAAATAAAATAAATAAAGCTCCCTTTTTATTCTCTCCAATGAAATCTGCTCTCCTTTTGATCTTAGAATCTAAATAGTCTTCTTTACATCCATACCCTGTTGAGGTAACTTTCGATTGCAAACAATCTGGCATTGAATCAGCTATAAAACCAATTCCAAGTTGTTATTTTCCCACCTGGAACGCTCATCCCGCATTGACACATTTCTCGATGGCCCCAAAAACAGCGATCGACAATAACAATAACAATTACACCGATAAAAACTGGACAACAACTGAAATGATTACCCAAAAGCCAAAAAAGAGTCAAAAGCCAACTGCAATTTTTCGATTCGATTTTGTTGTAGACATTTCACGCACTCACGTTTTTTAATGCAATCTCCTCTCCGGCAATGAAAAACCGCAGTCGGACCGAACCGATTCCCCCCTTGTTTTCTGGGCACATAAATATATTTTTACGACCGCAGCGCAGTATCTTGTTTTCCCCTTTGCCGTAACATTAATATCGTTGTTTGCTGCTGCGGCTTTCAGCATCAACAATTAAAACCGCTGAAAGTAAGAAATAAAAAAATCGAAAAGTACTTAACAAGCGAAATCGAAGTGGCCATTTGATTTTGAACTTGACTTTAGTTTAGTTTTCAGTAGGGAAATGTTATAGACTATAACCAGTGGGGTGGCCACACAGAAAGAAAAAACCGGTATGAAATAGGGTCAATTCTACCTTATGTCATATCAATAAAAAGCCGATATGATTTGTGTCTAATTTAGGATTCAAACATATCAACTTGATATTTTATCATATCATATAAAATACCAAATGTAGTATTTTTTAAAGAAATAATGTAAAAATTGTAAAATAATGTCAAAATGATATGAATAACGTAACCAGCACATACCAATCTGATTTTTTTTTTTCTGTAAGGGCTCCAAACTAATATTCGATAAAGTGGGGAATTCTAATAACGATTCATTTACGACGACTTTTGGGAGGTGCCCTTTTTATGCTCTCAAAGCATTTATTTATTTTTTAATCGCACACTTTTAATGGCGAATTAAAATGCCAGGTGTAAAGTAAAGTGTTTTTGCAATCCCCCCGAGTTTGCCTTGCCGATGATGTCAACTAAGAAACTTTTACTCATTCACTTGGGTTTTAGGTTTTAGTTTGGCTTTGGCTACTTTGGTTGCGCCCCCTAAAATGTTTATTGGCAAACGATAAGAAAACAACAGAAAAATAAAACACCACAAGATTTAATTTTTATTTTGACTTTTATTTGTGATTTTGTGAGTCATTCAACCCGCAAAACTTTCATATGGGAAATGCTGTAAAATGGCCAGTGCGAGGCGAGACTTTCTTCAAAAAATTTGAAATACTCGTGCGTCAAGTCATCCACAATCCGCAATTTGTGGGGTTGTGTGGCTGTGGGGTGGGTGAAACCGATATTAGCTGAGCGGAATAGTTAATTAAGGCATACGCCGCGACATATGCTAATGTCGCCTAAATGTGCATATCAATTTGTCAGTCAGTCGGTCGGTCTCTCTCTCTCTCGGCCAAAACTCCTCGCCCATTTTGGCCAAAGAAGCCAAAGAAGCCGCCGGCCGAAAGACGAAAGCCGAAAGCCGGAAAGAGCCGGGAAAGCCAAGCCGCTTGACGGATATGCGATGATCGGTAAATGGGAGGGGCAGCACGTCAATAATTATTATAATAATTTCATCGAAAGATTTTCTCATCTTTTCGATAACCGCAAAATCAAGTTTATGATTTGTATTTTCAAGTAGTAGGGAATTTTTGAATTTTGTATTTAAATATAGGTAAAAATTGGTTTGGGGCAAGTAATTTTGCAATGTCCTTTGCCCAAGTTTGTTGCCTAAGTCTTTTGTTTTGCCACTAGAAATATCAAGGAAATATCAAGTAAATGAATCGAAATCCAAATTATTTTTCTTTTTAACTCGTTAACTCCCTTCCATCTCCACCCACTTGTTATTCAGTGGACGTGCGAGAAAGACAGAGACTGAGAGAAAAGGACAGGGCGAACATTTTATTCATGTCAGGTGCGAAGACGGCCAAATTGTTTGTTTATTTCTCCATTTCGCTGTGATTTCTGCCCGGCAAGAATATCAAGAGGGTCGTATTTTTGTGCTTTCTAGTGAAATTGAAAACGCATTTAATAATAAACAGCCAAAAAAGAAACAAATTGAAGGGGGTCTTTGACAAAGTTTCACTTTCAACCAGCAGTCTCTGCACTTTTTTTCGGGGTTTTTGAGTTGGTTGTTTTTTGGCAGGAAAGAAATCAGATGAAATGAATGGAATTAGTTGGAAATGTAAAAGGGATTTTGGATTTGAATTGCACAAAATAGAGCTTAAACATTATCGATATTTTCGATATATTGACAATATTAATTCGATAATATCGATGTTTTGTAGGGAAACACAAAATTAATGGCCCAAAACAAATCTAATTAGGTGCGAAATGGGAAGGGTTATGGGGGTTCTTTGAGTGATTGCACCTGGGCTCATGCTTACGCTTTCGTTGGCCAATCTATAAAAACGACTGCTAATGGGAAATTATGTCTGGCATCTGGCCGCATCGCATAATGGCCAAGTAATTGTGATCGAAGCGTGTTGGCTTTCGGATGAGTTGGCACAACAACGCCCATAAAAAGGCAGAGAGCCCTGCGAATGGGAAATGGAAATGGTTGGGAAGATTGCATTAATCTAATCAATAGGAAGACGGAGAGGGGCAGGGGAAGAGACTCTCCTATGACTATGACGGATTTCAACTAATTTGCCTCATCGCTGGTCTCTACTTCTTCTACTTGCAGCCAAAGACTAAGCCCAACAACGAAGCCAATTAACGTAACAGGTGAGTAAGAAGAAATCCACAAGAGGGTTCGTTGCCCAAGTGGCCTGGCCGCTAACTGAACCTGAAAAGCCATCATCGAAGTCTAATAAATGATCAGCAAAACCAAAATGCCAAATAAATCTAGAAAAAAAAGGTTTTAAAAAGTGTATAGATTTACATTATACCCTATAGTTGATTTTATATAAGTAAGAACGAGCCGGATCGGTCAACTATATCCTATAGCTCTCGGAAAAATATTGTTAAATTGAAGAACATTTAAGAAAAAACTACAGATTTTGTGTTTTTTGACATATTATCTTCTAATTCTGTAGAATTTCGAATTCAATATTATAAAAATCATATAATTATATAGTATAGCTTTGATATTTATGATCATATTATCTTCCTTCAAAAGGGAGGTCTAGCATATAGCATATAAACTACAGGGTATCAAATATCATAGAAAAGACAAATTTAGCGAGCCAGAAAAAAAAGATGAAGAACAGTTGGCCACCACAATCTGTTGGCGCTAAATTGAATGACCGTCAATATTCGGCATTTGGCCAATGATCGGCCGTATAAAAAACTCTAATAAGGACCGTTACATAAAAAACGAGACGAGAATCGGGGAATCGGGAAGTGAAGAGGGGGTATTTTTACACGGCGGTATTGCCATGATATTTGCTTTTTTGCATGACACTTGCAAAAAACCGAAACAAAAGAGGGGCAAAAAAGTAAACTTTACTTGTGACGACCTTAAATTGTTTTTGACTTTGATTTCGACTCTGGCTTTGAGAGTCCACAAAGCCCACAATTGCCAAAGTTACTGGCGAACATGGCTATGTGCATGTTTCTGTTTCTGTTTCTGAATAACTTATTGTGCGACTTGCAATTGTCTGTTGTCTGCTGTTTGTGGCTGATTTGCCCGAGCTAATTAAGTTGTTCGATTATATTTGCCAGTTTGTTTGGGGCTGCTTACAACTATATTTTACTGTGGGCTATTGATTATCCTCTCTGTTTTATTGAAAGGGAATAGATTTTTGGTGTACCATGGGTTTCCTATGGTTTTTTGAGCACATAATAGTACTTACATACCCCATTTTAGCTAAGAATGTTCTATATAACCTTAAATCTTGTAGATCCCTTTATTTTCTACTGTTAGTTTATTCCAAAGTTGGCTCATCGTTTTCACACCCACAACATAGAGCACCTCCGTTAAAGATCAAATATCTCAGGACTGGTCTTTTCCTTTTTTTAAAGTCTTTGTTAAGTTTTATAAGAAATATTTGGATTTACTATAGTATACGTGTCATTTTTATCAGTGTACTCTTAAGTGCCGCCCTTGTTTGTACGCGTACGCCTGGAATGTACTACCCTTTCTTTGGGCTCAAGAAAGGCCCATGAAATCTTGGAGACAGCACCCACCACCCACTAACAACAAGACGGCCCCAATCCGTTGGCCAAGGCAAAAATAAGGGGGAAGGGGGATGGAGGGATAACAAGACACAGTGGCGTCTCTGGCATTGGGCACACCACATCACATCACAGCACAGCAGAATAGCCCCAAAGCCGGTTTCTCTCTCACTCTTTCGCTCTCTTTTGGCACCTGTCGCTGCCACTCTGTCTTGTCTCCGTTGGCCAACTTAACTTCTTCGGCTCACGACGACGACGACGTCGGCTTTTGGCCAAGTAGTAAAGCCAAGTCAAGTCAAGTCGCCGCTGCCGTGGGCACGTCTTGCGTTCAATGCGCTGCCAGCCGTCGATAAGAACGCACGCGAGCGGATCCCGAGATCCCGAACCACCCATACGAACTATCAAAATCAAAATTGAAATTGAAAAATTGGAAATACGCGCGCGCGTGTGCTTTTCCACTTTAAATATATACGTTTTCTATATTTTTTTTGATTAATTTTTTTCACACCAAGTGGAGAATTGGCAATGTGCAGTGCGTGATGTGTGTGGATTGGTGCTGCATCCAAATCTGTGGCAGAAAAATACAAAAGAACACTAGGCTATAGTTTTTCCATTCAAAAATTGTAGTACGGAAAACGCAGCTGCCTCAGAATGTCTGGCAAGAATCAAATGAGCGTCTTAATGGATAAGATCAACACGGTGAGTTCCATTGTGGGTTGTGGGTTGTGTGGGTCTCTAGGTTTTCTCTAGGTCTCTGGGTCGCAAAAAGAGTGCATCTTTCACACGAATTTGATTCGGTTAATTCGGTAAAAGCAATGCCGGTTCGCTTCTCTTGTGATAAACAGGGCGAAGATAAATGATTGTTCATATAATTATTTGTCTACCGAAGCTAATTGCAAAATGAAATGGGTGTCATCTCTTGTAAATATTTGTAATTAAAAATTGAAAGATAAAAAATAAATAAAATAATGTTAATTGCAAAATCTTAAGAAATGTTTAATGGATAGTCTAGTACCTATTAAAAACAAAACTTTACCATTTTAAAGAGTTGTCGATGTATTTTTTTTATTAGTTATTAGTTGACTGAAGATAAAAGTATTTATAATGTATTTCATAACGTGCAAATTTCGTAAATAATTTTTAACTATTTAAAAAAAAAACAAGCTTAAAACTTGAATATTTTCATAAATAGTAAAAAAATGTATTCTATGTTACATTGTTATTTGAGAGTGTGTGTGTGGATAAATTCTATCGTTTACCAATCGATTTTTTTGTGTCCAGTTTGCAATCGATTCCCTAACTTTCGTAACCCTGATTTCATTATTGTAAGTTTAATCCTTCTGTTTCCTCTCGTCATTATTATGCTCCTGTAAGATTTTCCACCTGCAAACGAAAAATGGGAGGGAGGGGGGAGCGATTAGAAAGGGGTTAGGAGAAAAGAGACAGTAGGACAGACCAGCACTCTCACTTGACCAACAATTTAGCGTCATTTGCATTCAAAAGTGTCGCCTGGTCACTCATAAATAAAATGAAATTGAAATTTTTGCGCCTCAGTTTTCCTCTCCACTTCCCCTCCCTCCGAGTTTCCCCTTCCCCTACCCCCTCCCCATTGGATGCCCGGGTACTCGACGCATTTTGATTGTGTAGAAATGAAAGTGAAATGCGCCCCAGCGAAATTGAGTGCCCATTGGCCGCCATACATCCCCATACCCCCACCCCATGATTTTGAGTGCGCCTCAATGAGCTTCAATTGAATGAGCTGACGAAATGCCGCGCACCGCATAACAAACATAAAACAAAAATGAAACGAAACGAAAAACAAACAAGTGGCAAATTATATAGAGGGGTACATTTACTGGAGGTGCAATGCATCGGGTAAATAAATTTGTGCAACAATAATTAATTAGTAATAATTTTTGGTTGCCTTTTTTTTGTGGTGTGTGGCGAGTGTAGAAATGCTGATGAGGCGGTAAAAGCGCGGGGTGAGAGTTGAGCAATCCACTCAAACTCCGTTTCAAAACCCCATACCAAACCTCCCCACTCCATTTTCCATCCACTATCACTATATGATGGTTCCGTTAACGAGCTTCGATTGCGGTGGATGGAGGATTGGGGATGGTGAATGCAGTTTAAAGGATAGAGGAGTTGCAATTCGAACCGAATCGATTATCCGATAACCTACTCCCCGATAACTCGATTAACGAGCCATTATTGCATTTGGCTATTGAATTGCATAAACTAAATTAGCAGGGGAGTTAGAGATTTGTTTTTGGTCTCGTTTTTGCTTTTAAAATAGATAATATATATTTTTTTTAATTCATAAATAATTCCTTACCATTTGAAATCATAAGAATCGTAATAACTTCATTATAGCCCACGGAATTATTATCCAGAACAAATACTGAATATCAAGGCCGAATATCAATGGCATTTATCCGCATATTTTACACCTTTACAACTCGAATGACACAACACCTTTTTGCTCGATTGGTAAATGTCACAATATCACCTGTCCTACGCTCTATTTATGCTATTTTTTTTACTTGAGTCCCACTTGAGACACAGAATTTCAGTAGCACTTTATGTGTAGCGAAAGCTAGGCTTGGCCTACGACATTCTGTGAACCTTCAAGGAAATCGAATGAATGGCACTTGGAACATGGAATTGCACTTGCGGTGCAGCTAGGGGATTACATATATACCTGGTATCCCGCTAACTACTAACCAATAACCAATAACGGCAAGTTCCGTTCTGACATTATGTCAACTACCGCAATCTGCACTAGAATTTGGCTGAGCTTTCTCCGCAAAATGCACAGGTTGCATAATCTGCATCATCTGCATCTGCTTCTGCATCTGCAAGTGCCACCAAACCCGATTTCGAACTGGTATTGGTATGGGTATTTGTACTGGTTCGTCGAATCTCGTCTCGTCTGGCCTGTGGTCGCTTTATTTATGACGTAAGCCCCTGGCGGATTCGGATTTGGATTCTAGGCCTGACATTGGCCTAGCCCACGAAGTATTATGGGGTCTCCAGCCTCCAGTCTACAGTCTCTATCCTCCAGTTTTCAGTCTCCAGCAGACGCAGACGAACTCGATTCTCACGAGCATTGGAGTGCTGAGTGCGAGTGCTCGCGGAATGTGGGCCAAGTCAGTGGATGGATAGCTAAATTATCTCAAGCGATGGCTTCACACTTGCTCACCTCCAATTACTTTCAAGTGGCGGCTACAATGATTATAGCCTCATGACACTGGCTTAAAAACTAGACTAGCTGATTTATTCTATAAAAAAAAATTAATGATAAAAAAAAATTAAATATTAAAAAACATATAAAATATATATAACATTAATTCTTCCTTTTTCACAGAAGTTTTTCAAATAAATCTAGTCTGTTACTCCAAATTTACGAAGGTGTCACAAGGCTATACTCATTAAAAATTAAATTATAATAAGATCTTGACGCGATAAAAACATATAAAATCTATATACTACATATAGTTTGATTTATTACATTAATTCTTCCTTTTTCAAATAAATCCAGTCGGTTATTAGAAATTAAAGATGGTGTCAGAAGGCTATAATCATTGTAAATTAAACTATAGTAAGATCTTGACTCGATAACAAAAATGATCTACTATATAATTATACTATGCCTTTGTTTTGTTTTTCCAAAGCGCCAGTAAATAACAATAATAGTTTGTAATCCATACTATAGGTAATCCCAGACAGACCGCCAAGGTCTCAACTGTGGTGACCACCACATCAAAGAAAGCTGATTCTATATCACGATAACGGATTAATATATCGCCGGCTAGTTTTACGGGAAGCTCTGACCCATATAGCCATATATCTTATTGCTTATAGGCCTCGCTCATAATTATTATTATACCATATGTATATACATTTTCGTAGCCCAAATACGGAAGCCGTGTAATGCTAATGAATCGCTGCGAAACCAGGCAGCACCAAAACGAGACTGGGAAAAGTGTGTTGTGAGTTGTGAGTTCGGGAGACGGGAGTCGGTAGTCGGGGGCACTGTAATAATTTCCTGTCTCTGGTCGCTGGCTGATTTGCATGTGAAGTCCCCACTCCAGTTGAATCCAATCCGATTTGGATTCGAAGACCACTCTACTCCAATCCAAGCCAATCCAATCCAAGTCTTGTTTGACTTACTTAATCAAACCTAATGGCAAAAGATACAAAAGTATCTGCATGTAATGCGATCCATTTGCGGGCCACCTACACCTACGCTCCTACGAAACTTTCCAGAGTTTGAAAATTGAAATTGAAATTTATGCGGACATGAATTAGCCTAGCCTCAGCTCGCAGCCGACCTGGCTAATCAACTGGAAATACATAATTCGTTTGTTTTCGCCTTTTGGCAAGTGAAAGTGCCTTAACTAGCTGACCAGCTAGAGTTTGAAGTTGATAGTTGATAGCTGATAACGCATCTGTCCGTGCATCGGATGGGGATCTGTGGATCTTCACTGTCCTAGCAAATAAATTAAACAATTAAAAGTAAACAATTATATATCAAATTATTAAGTTTGATGAAAATGACCTGGTTCAGCCATACATAGAGAAAAAAATAAAGAAATAATGACTCTCTTAATTTCAGTATTTATAAAACAGTAAAACTTGAACCCATTTCCCCCTTATTTGTTTTCCATTTTGGGGAAAAAATACTCTATAAAGACTAAAAATTATAAAGACCAAATATTTTTTTAAGAATTTATGTTCTCAATTTGAGTGCCATGGTTAATTCTCTCTGTGTAGGATTATACTAAGTGGTCAAGAAAATTTCCGAAAGCATTATTTTTGATAAGGAAACCTGACTGTAGCTTAAGTTTGTAACTTTAAGCTTACGGTTTTGTAAATAAATAAAACAAAATTCCCTCACTTTAACGAATTTAGAATGTTCTTGCTCCACACAGCATTTATCTTAGTATTTTTATTTCAGTATTTGTTGTGATAAGATTTCCTTTACTCTTTCTCCGAGAATCTCTGTATATCTCTTGGTTTTTATTTGCCTATCATTGTCAGTGTCAAAACTCGGTGTAAACATGCAAAATAGGGCAAATAAAAGTACGTTCTGGGCCAAAGTCGGATAAGATACGAATCTCTACGAAAGATTTCTAGCAGTTCTTCTACTAATTTGGGGATGGGAAGTTGGTTAAGGAAATATGGAAGTAGTGAAAAAGCCGCCGCGTCGAAACAAGGTGAGCAATGGATTTTTGGGGGGGAGATTTAGATGTGGGCTATGGGTTATGGGTAGAGGTGTTTAAGGTCAAGCTCGATTTCCCTCAAGTCCCCCCAACAATAAGCACCAGCAACCACTTTCCACAGGAGTTTTCTTTGTCAGGCAGATTTCAGATTTCACCGACAAACAAAACAAGAAATTGCCAACTTAATTTACGGCTAGGAAATGCGGGACGGGGAAGCTCACGATCTATGCGAGATCTTCTGCTTTGTTTTTTCTGTTTTCTGCCTTTTGATTTTCCCTCCCCTGCTTTTTTTTTCTTCTATTTCGATAAACATTTTCACTTTCGTTTTCGTAAACGTATTCGTATTCGTATTCAATTTGTGTGTTTTGGGGTTTCGCTCAGATTCGAACCAAAGAGTTTCCCCCGTCGACCGCCGACCGCCGGCCAATAATCACAATAATCATGGCAAGCGGGCAGTCAGTCAGGCCAAAAACA